GGCGGTGAGGGAGCATGGTGCGGGAGCGGATACGTTGCAGAGTGCGCTGGTATGGCCGGAGAGCGACAAGCTTTGTGTAGCTCCTCTTTCTCTTGAGCATTTTGCAAGCAGTGGTTCAGGCTCGCGAGTTTTATTGATGTGGAAGAGAGGAACTGGCAGGGGCAGAAGAGAGGGAGATGCTTTGAGCAATTTGGCACAGGCCCCTCTCTGCTTCCTTGCTGCCAGCACTGAACAGCGTTTCGCTGGTGAGGAGGTGCAGGAGGGCGTGCCTTCCACTTTCAATATTGAACATTTAGGCAGAACGTGTGATACTTGGAAATTATCAAAGCTCAGGGGCTAAGGGAAAGGTGGGCCAGGTCCCCAGAACGACACAGCAAGGCTGAACAAACCTCTAGGAAGTTTTTTTCCGAGGATGGAGCCTAATCCAGCAGCATGGCCATGCAGGTACAATGGGACCGGTCCTGTGAGGCTGATCTGGTGGATCTCTGGGGTGCAGCACCTGGAGGACACCAACAGCAAAAAAAAAAACAAACAAAAGACACTTTTCTTTCGGGTGGTGGTTGAATGTGGGTGAGTTCTGCAGTACTGTGTCCAGTTCTGGGCTCCCCAGTTCAGGAAAGATGAGGAGCTACTGGAAAGAGTCCAGCGGAGGGCTACAAGGATGATGAGGCGACTGGAGCATCTCTCCTACGAGGAAAGGCTGAGGGAGCTGAGCTGGTTTAGCCTGAAGAAGAGAAGGCTGAGAGGGGACCTTCAAAATGGCTCTAAATATCTGCAGGGTAGGGGTCAGGAGGACGGGGCCAGACTCTTTTCAGTGGTGCCCAGCGACAGGACAAGGGGCAACGGGCACAAACTGAAGCAGAGGAAGCTCCAGCTGAACCCGAGGAAGATGGGCTGGGGGATCCCCAGAGGTCCCTTCCAACCCCCAACATTCTGTGATTCTGTGATTTTACACCCAGGTTAGCTGCTGCTGGCACCAGCTGAGACTTTGTGTAGTAATACCCCGTCCTTTCGTACAGGCTCGGCTAAACTCTGGTCAGGCGAGCACAAAGCGTCCTCAGGAACAGCGGGAGAACTCGTATCGTTTGCCGGCTGTGGTGCTGCCTGATGGGCGTCTGCACGACGGCAGAGCTGCGCGGGGGGGATTTAGGGCTGAGCAGGTATCCAGCTCGCGCGGGCTGGGGTCAGGGGGGCAGCCTGGCTGGGTGAGACCGCTGCACGATCCGCGGCTGGTTTTGTAAGAGACGGCATTTGGCTTAAGGCTGTTTAAAAAGTGATGTGTAAGGTCAGGGTGACATTGCTGTGATTTAATTTAAAATAGAAAGGCATTATACTGTCTGTCGGCTGATTGCTGCTGAGGCCGCGCCCAGCCGTTGTGGTTAAAGAAAAAAAGCATTTCCAGGGGCTTTACTGCTTGCAGAAAGTAATTGTTTTTAAATAGGAAAAATAGGCTTGTTTGATTTGTCCCACTCTCGTCATTGCCTCTGGTTTAGAAGCTGCTGAATTGCTGTTAATGGATGAGGGTCCCCAGCGGTACCCCCTGTGGTGTGGTACAGGATTTTATTCTTTATTCACATGTTGATAATTAACTTTTCTTCCTCCCCAGAGAGGCAGGCACATGAAAACACACCTTTTTTTTTTTTTTTTCTTTTTTCTTGCTGAAGAAACAACTGCAGAAAGGTCTGTGTAGCCCCAGGCTGCCTTTTTTTCTGTATCAGGAACCAAATCCTTCTGTCTTGCCACGAGACGCCTTGAGCTGGGATTAGTGCTTCAGGAAATATGGAAATAAATCCCAGAGCACGTTCGTGTCCCAGATCACACTCGTGTTCAGACTGCTGTTGCAAGGCTTTGGGGTTTAGTGGTGGAGTTTAAACTGGGCTTCTGGGTCTGGGTTTCAGTGCGTTGTCTGCTTGTGGTGAAGGCTTTGCGTGTGGATGTTTATCCCAGGACTGATAGGAAACATGTAACTGTCCATCGTAGGCTCGTAGTTTGTGCTTGTTAGGATGTAAACGGGTGACGTAAGAGCTGTGGCAATCTCATGGGCATCCCATCCCTCGCTCGGAGCTGCATGCGTGCAACGCCGTCTGACTTCTGCTGTTTTCTTGCCAGCACCTCCTGCAAACGCTCCTCGAGGCGTCTCGCCATGAGAGGGAGGTGGCTGTGACTGCAGCTCCATCAGGAAAGACAAGTGTTGCGTCGGGGCCCGGCATGGATGTCCCATGGTGTTTCCACATGCCACCAGGCACAGACAGCTTTTTTATCCTATTGGGGAACATCTTCCCTAGGATTTGGGTCCCAGAGGGACCCAACCCTGGTGATAGAGAGAGCTAGGACAGAGCTGGCTTGAATTATCCCAGTTTAGTGGCAGCTGGAGCCCAGTTTCCGCCTTTTTTGGGTTACGTCCTATGAGTTGAACCTCAGTCCCTTGAGAACAAGTGTTCATGCTGTAGTGGTACGTGTCCTTTATTTGTCTGAGGTGTTTGTTCCCCAGGTAAGAACTGGGGCCAGCAGCGAAGCAAGGTGGAGCTGTCCTGCTGCCTTGCTGGTGGCCTTCGCTGTCTGCTTTCCAGAACGATATCCAAGTCCTCAACGGCTCCCAGCCTGGACGTTTTGCAGCAGTACAGAGATGGTAGCTCCCACTGCCTGCAGTCAGTTTGCAGATTTAATAGCTCTTTGAATTTCCCTGGTGTTTCCTGCACTCTAATTTCCTTCCTCTCAGCTCTAGGCCGGTGATCTCTCATCATTTCAGATTTGCCTGTGGAAACCTGTATGCGAGGGTAAAGGATAGACGCTGTTTTACGGGGCTGAGCACCCCTGGGAATCCAGAGCTGTGTTTTTTCATGGGTGTTTCTAACCAGACATGTATTTTTCTGTCTCTCTAGCCATGCAGGGACCGCGACCAGTGGTTCTGAGTGGCCCGTCGGGTGCAGGGAAGAGCACTTTGTTAAAGAAATTGTTTAAAGATTATGAGAACATCTTCGGCTTCAGCGTCTCCCGTGAGTATCCGTACATCTCTGGGGAAGGGCAGTGGAGGAGCTCAGGGCTGCTAGCCCAGAGCTGCGTTCACGCCCCAAATAGTGGGCTTCCCTGGCTTGCCTGTGTCCTAGTCTGTCTGCGGGCTCTCTGGGATGTTTAAAAAAGCCAGGACACCCTTTACTACTGGTGTGGAGTGGCAAGTCTAAGATCTGTCTGGAACAGCACCCTTTCCAGGTCTGGTGACTCCCCACACTTCCAAACACAGCTCAGAGAGGCGATGAGATTTTTCCAATCCTTGACTCTGAAAGTAACAACCTCCGCCCCCACCCTGCTTCGAAAGCCGATTCTTTCCACCCACCTGCGGTAGCTGGTGGGGGTTGTAACAGCCCCGGGGCTGCGCACCAGAGTCTCAGATGTAAAATCAGAGAGTTTTGTGAAGCCTGTCTCGTTACTGGGTCGGTCAGAGAAGCAGTTCGCCCCAATGCCTGCTTACTTTCCTTCTCCTGTCATTGCTCTGCTGGTTGGTTGACTTTTTCTACAGCGGTCCCTAAGTGCTGGCCAAGGGTCCTTTTTTTTTCTACCTGGGATGGTTCCCTGTAATGTGAAAATAACCCCTGGCTGGCTGGCTCCATCCGTTCACGCTTCCCTGCAGGCGGTGCTGCAGTCCTTCTGCATCCACAACAGAGTAACTGCAGGGAACCTTCTTCAGGCAGCTTGCCTGTTGCAGTACTAATTACATTTACTTTTTCTGGAGTGGCTGTGTCTGCAGCTCATTCGCCTGATTTTTTTCCCCTGGAGTTTTGCAAGGTGTCTTTAAGTACATTACCAAATCGTTTTTTACTGTCCTAACACGTTGGATGCTGCAAGTGAAATCCTTGCTTTGAGATCTGGATTTGTTCTACTCTGAAAGGGCAAATACTGGATGTTTAAAAATTTAAGGTTACTGGCAATGGGAAAAAAAAAACCCAAATTATCTTTCTTTTTGTGTGTTTCATCCTAAGCTCTTGATTCAACTGAATCTCACTTCTCACTCCAAACGAAATCTTACCATTTTCCCCAAGGTTGCCTCTTGGTAGATATTTTTTTTTTTCCTAAATCTCCATAGGCCACTTAGACCTTGGCAACTGGTGCTTTCTAAAAACTTACAGGTGATCGGAGCCTCACTGCATTATGTTAACTCCTGCTGGTCCTAAATAAAATAATCAGTGTTGCTCTCTGTGATGGCTGTCAGCTCCTTGTTGGTTTGCAGAGCACGTGCTTAAAATCATACCGCTTTGAACGACTGCCAGCAGGGTTCGAAGGCTGTCAGATTTGTTCACCTACCTCGTGCAGGAGTTTGCCCTTGTGCATTAAACCTGGCTATTTTAAGCACCTGTGTAGGTGGTGCGTGATCTTTTAAAATGAAGATAACCCTGCGAAGTAGGGCACTGCTAATTCCCCCGCGCCGAGGCAGAGGTCCGAGTGGCGTGTCTGGGATTACACAGGAGGGCTGTAGCAGAGCTAAAAACTAAGCCCGGCCCAGTAAATCCCACACTGACTGCTCAGCCCCTAACAATTTTAATTGATTGTTTTCAGATTATCTAGGATTCTTCAGTTAAAGGCCGATCTGGCGTGTCGTTGTGTGTTACGCTAGCTGATTCCAGAAGCTTTGATCATTTTAAATAGAGGGTCAGCTTACTGCATGGTTGGGTTAATCTGCTGCGTGTGTGCTTTTATCTCCTTGATACTATTACTTCCTTGGGTGATCTACAAAATTTACAAGGCTGTTGTGGTTTTTTTTTTGGCTTACAGATACCACAAGGCAGCCAAGACCCGGAGAAGTGAATGGCAAAGGCGAGTGTGTTGCAGCTGGGCCTGTCTCGTCAGACTCGGCAAACAATTCCTCTGAAAAATTTTAGGTCTTTACGTGAAGTGCATGCGTGAATCCCCACTAGCAGATAAGTTAGTCCTACATTTGTATTTGTAGGGTGCATTTCCATAGGCAGGAGGAGCAGGCATTCAGTAATGATTTATTTGAGACTCCCTGTGTGTATGTATATGCGTATATAAGTATGCATACGTACACACACTTTGGTTCTTTATCTCAGCGGCAGTGAGACCGTAGCCATGCACCGCTGTTCCGCAGCGTGTGCCGTGTGTTGGAGGGAAGATAATGAAGAGGGATGGACTTGGCAGAACAAAAACAAAATTTAATTAAATGGTGAAATGTTAACAGAGGCAAAGCACGTGCTGCCCGTTTTCTTTTCTAGACACCATCTCTGTGACTCGCTGGCCAAGGTTTTCAAAGCGGGGCTCTTGGTTTAAGCACCCTGGTCTGTACTTGGATGTTGAGCAGCTTGGTTTTCTGAAGTGCCAGGTAGCTCTGGCGAGGTAGCTCAAATGCACACCGCTTTGGGAAATGCAACTGCTTAATGAGATGCCTTTGTATTAACAGCCTGCATCCAGCTGGCCAGCTGCCTTTCTGGTTTTTGGTTTGTTTGTGTATTTCAGAAAGAATGAAATGAGGTTTGTTCTTAATTTCCGATGCCAGGTTTTGCTGTGAAGTGAAAGGGAGGAATGTTAACAAAAGATAGAGAAACATTCCTTTTTAGGTCATTCGTTTTTGATGTTCCCCTTTATCTCCCTCTCTTGTCCCATTCTAGTCTTTAATCATGAATGCTTTCAAATCAAGGGCCTTGGCAGTCCTGCTGTAATGCGTTCCACACCTGTGGGGACCAGGGGGGAGTTTCCCACTGCACCAGGAAGGGGAAAGGATATGGAAGA